AAGCAATGGGCCACCTATTCTAGGTAGACAATTTTGATCATAGCTCTCTATCTGTCCCTATGACTCAAATTCCTTTAGACCTTAGGTGAGCCATTACAAACATTCTGCCTTAGTTTTTGCACCCTAAAAAAAATGAGAATTAAAGGAAATAAACAAACCAATTAAACTTATCTTTTGAGAGCAAGCCCACCTTGAGAGTTTCAGTAATCACCACTAACTGATTATCATTCGGGGATAAATGAGAACAAAGAAGAAAGTAAGCAGAATGAAAGAAAAATCTGCGAGGCACTTTTTGTGCTGCTTAGGATAAGACTCCTCTCGTTTTATTGAATTTGATAATAAGAGATCTAAAGTCTGGGGAAATGCTTCCAGGCAGCAAAGCAAAGGTTTGAAGCTCACAGGTCTAAGGAGAAATTAATAAAGTGCAGCGGGGAAATTCAGCTGAACAAAAGTGCAATGAGCCATAGTTAAACCAATTAATTAGGCAGGTTTTGATATGTATATAACTGGGTTGCTAAAGAATTAAAAGTAAATCCAAGATTTTAAACAAAGCTTTGGTATTCAACAAAACAGCAAATGGTAACATGCAGAAAACTTATATTTTTTAGTAGTGTGCTCTTTGATGAATTCCTTCCTCATTCATATGTATTATCACCTTTCTTTTTTCTATTAATATTTTTAAAAAAACTATACTTTCAATAATATACCAAAGTCTTATGCTCTGTTTGATTCTCTTATGCATTCTTTTTATGTTTATAAAAAACTGTACTGCTTTTTTGCAATATCAATTAAAAACATTGATCTTTCAGTACTATGTCTATTTTTCAGGCAATGAAAATTAACTTGCTTAGTCCACCTGGAGCCTGGAAGGTGTGAAGCAGAACAGGTGAAGTGGTAAGACCGTAGGCTGGGGAGCCACACAGATCAAGGTTCAATACCAACACTTAGCACTTAAGAGCAGTGAGACCTTGCACAGGTAACTTGGCTTCTGTAAGCCTCAGTTTCCTCCACTGTAAAAATAATGTACAAGTTAAATACATTTGAAAATTCCATGGCACAATGTCTGGTGGAGAAATCTCCCCACTGGATGCAAGTAATAACAGTATAAAGCAGTTTACCATTTGTGGGTGCTTTCGATTGCCAAAATTGCTTGTTTGAACTTTAAACATATATCCCATTCAATTGGATTTTTAAAAACCATGATGGAATGGTTAGTAGACGGTAGGTTTCTAGACTAACGTTTCAAACCTTCAATTACCATAACATTATTTCAGTCGAAGGTTATCCTAAGAGTACTCTGGCTGGGTGGCAACCTTGACCTGGTTTTTCTTTGAGTTTCCTGGTTTCGACATTGCAAGTCCCACTGGAAAACCCTTTGGTCCCAGACAAATCTAATCATGATTCCTTCATTTGGAACCTAATCACCACTCATTCATTCATTCATTCATTCACCCATTTTTCTGCAGCACCAGATACTTTCTTAGGCACTGATGATATAAGGACAAATCACCCTTAACAAGCCCAGAACCAGCAATGGAGACGGACAATGAACAAGTTTGTGTTGACCTGTTAACTTATTTATTTATTTACTTTTTGCCATAGCACTCATCACTATTAACTCTATTTTCTGCATATCCCTTTGCTTAAAAGCTATCCTCTTATACCAAAAACGTTAAGTTCTGTGAGGAAGTGACTTTTTCTTCTTTGTTCACCTCTGAATCTAGGATTATAACTTGAACACAAAGACACTTGAAAAAAAATTTTGTTGAATGAGTAAAGATATAAGGTATAGCTGAAGTTGGTTGATTCATGTCTTCTCGATTTGCAGTGAAGAAATAAAGGCACTGTCACCTAGAAGCAATGGGCCACCTATTCTAGGTAGACAATTTTGATCATAGCTCTCTATCTGTCCCTATGACTCAAATTCCTTTAGACCTTAGGTGAGCCATTACAAACATTCTGCCTTAGTTTTTGCATCCTAAAAAAAATGAGAATTAAAGGAAATAAACAAACCAATTAAACTTATCTTTTGAGAGCAAGCCCACCTTGAGAGTTTCAGTAATCACCACTAACTGATTATCATTCGGGGATAAATGAGAACAAAGGAGAAAGTAAGCAGAATGAAAGAAAAATCTGCGAGGCACTTTTTGTGCTGCTTAGGATAAGACTCCTCTCGTTTTATTGAATTTGATAATAAAAGATCTAAAGTCTGGGGAAATGCTTCCAGGCAGCAAAGCAAAGGTTTGAAGCTCACAGGTCTAAGGAGAAATTAATAAAGTGCAGCGGGGAAATTCAGCTGAACAAAAGTGCAATGAGCCATAGTTAAACCAATTAATTAGGCAGGTTTTGATATGTATATAACTGGGTTGCTAAAGAATTAAAAGTAAATCCAAGATTTTAAACAAAGCTTTGGTATTCAACAAAACAGCAAATGGTAACATGCAGAAAACTTATATTTTTTAGTAGTGTGCTCTTTGATGAATTCCTTCCTCATTCATATGTATTATCACCTTTCTTTTTTCTATTAATATTTTTAAAAAAACTATACTTTCAATAATATACCAAAGTCTTATGCTCTGTTTGATTCTCTTATGCATTCTTTTTATGTTTATAAAAAACTGTACTGCTTTTTTGCAATATCAATTAAAAACATTGATCTTTCAGTACTATGTCTATTTTTCAGGCAATGAAAATTAACTTGCTTAGTCCACCTGGAGCCTGGAAGGTGTGAAGCAGAACAGGTGAAGTGGTAAGACCGTAGGCTGGGGAGCCACACAGATCAAGGTTCAATACCAACACTTAGCACTTAAGAGCAGTGAGACCTTGCACAGGTAACTTGGCTTCTGTAAGCCTCAGTTTCCTCCACTGTAAAAATAATGTACAAGTTAAATACATTTGAAAATTCCATGGCACAATGTCTGGTGGAGAAATCTCCCCACTGGATGCAAGTAATAACAGTATAAAGCAGTTTACCATTTGTGGGTGCTTTCGATTGCCAAAATTGCTTGTTTGAACTTTAAACATATATCCCATTCAATTGGATTTTTAAAAACCATGATGGAATGGTTAGTAGACGGTAGGTTTCTAGACTAACGTTTCAAACCTTCAATTACCATAACATTATTTCAGTCGAAGGTTATCCTAAGAGTACTCTGGCTGGGTGGCAACCTTGACCTGGTTTTTCTTTGAGTTTCCTGGTTTCGGCATTGCAAGTCCCACTGGAAAACCCTTTGGTCCCAGACAAATCTAATCATGATTCCTTCATTTGGAACCTAATCACCACTCATTCATTCATTCATTCATTCACCCATTTTTCTGCAGCACCAGATACTTTCTTAGGCACTGATGATATAAGGACAAATCACCCTTAACAAGCCCAGAACCAGCAATGGAGACGGACAAATGAACAAGTATCGTATGCTAAATGCTAATGATGAAGGATGCCAGGGAAACACGGGGCTGGGCACCTCACACAAACTTGTGGTTTAGGGAGACTTCTCAGAGGAGCTCATTACTAAACTGGAACTGGAATTAGATACACACCCCAACCCAGAGCCTCCTATTTCATTCCTTTGGGCATTTTTCATGTCTGAGCTCAGTATTATTTAAATATACATGTTAAAGTGCCATCTCTTTAGATTCACATTGGTCATTATCTAAATAGATTTTGAATAACTTCTGGTCTGCATGCATTTTTGTGTGTGTGAAATATCAGTGAAATATAAATATAAATAACCACAAACCCTTAATTTTATAGCAGTTCTTCCCACTCTGGAGATACAGCTAGATAAAACCTACTTTTAAGAGAGCTAATCGCCTGCTTGCTTTTTCATTATTTGAAACTCATTGCCCAAAGGACATTATTGGAACAACATGTTAAATTGAAAACAAAATGTAAGTTATAATAAATAATACTGTTCTATCCAGAATAATGTAGTGGTTGCCCCAAAGTCAGCAAGTTAAACATGTTTCTTAAAGCTTGTTATCAAGGAATGTGCATTCTATTTTTAATACTTCAATAACCTTCAAAATATTCCTGAACATGCCTCTATCACCACAGCAAATGCTGCATCAAGATGATAAGACACAGAATGCTTATACAACAGAAAGCTCTGATGCAACATGCACTGACAAATAGCTTGAAGATTCGGTTCTCCACCTGGAGGAAAAAGCAGATTTTCAATAGACTCTGAAAGTGAGAAGGGGGCTCATTCTCAGACAGACTGTAAGCTTCATGGGGGAGCAGGACCACATCTATATTATTCACTGCTACCTCCCCAGTGCTTGGGACGTGATTGATGCAAAAAATGGCAGCGTAAATAACAAAACACATTTAAAAGTCTTCACTCTGTATTTCTAACAAATGATCATTCAGACACCTATAAACTCGAGGGAAAAATCTTTTTTGCCATTCATGAAAATCAGTAACCTTCTCTGACACCAGCAAGTGAGGAGGCTTAAGTTTCAGCCAGTTACAACACAGACTGACATCATACATTCTATTTATGTCGGGACCAGTTAGTGTCACACTTTAGTCAGACTACATCTCTCATCTTGGTCAGTCACCTTTGAGATATTTACAGGGATTTACTAAGAATGTGCATGTGATTAAGAATAAATTACCCTTGTTAGAGTAAAGATATCTCATACCATGCTTTCTGTCGAATATGGACCAAAAGCATCAATTTAAAGACTCATTAATTATAATCATCATCTATCGTAAGCCCCATAGAGATTGTACATGTATGTCAGATATTGATCTTCTTGATTATGAAGTTTCTTGGGAATTTTGAGAAACCAGACAAAGGAAAAATACTAAAATTCTCACTTGTGAATTTTTTTTTTTTTTTTTTTGCATTTTGGTCACTTTTTTCTTTATATGTATACACTTGCTAATGTATATATAATTAACACACCTGATACATTTAAAATTCAATGGAATAGTAGAAGTAACGAGTCTTTTTAAAATTAAAAATAATTTTCATGTCATTATTTTTTACCTTTGAAGTTTACTACACCAACTGCAGTTGAAGCCAATCTGAGCGGCAACACAGGGGCCACAACCATTAAACTGGAGACAGGCTAGGGAAACAGGAAAGAACAGAGTAGTCAAGATTAACTGGTAGCATGGAGGGAAAAAAAAACCCAGCAATTGCTCCACCAAAATAAAAGTCATCCACCCCAATTGCTCAACCAAAATAAAAGTAACAAACCCATGCCATTACATGTATAGGATGAAGATACAAATGCATGCTAAGCACCATGTTATAATTATTGGTAAACAGATCAGAACATCATACTTGTAGATCATTATTTCCACCTTGCTATGTTCACATGTTAACTTACTAGGTAATGGGGTCATCTCCACAGCTGAAATGTTGGTAATTTTTGACATCTGTAACTCTACGCGGTGGTATTCATAAATTGTTCTTCTTCG